TCTACTCCTTTCCCCTGCTCTCTGAACTGCATTCCCACTCCTTTCCATTTCTCCCTCCTGATAGGAAGAAGGAAGTGGGCCACATGAAATGGAAGACCAGTGCTGGCTCCAAACATTCTCGAAATGTCTCCGGATCTGAACCTATCTCCTTTTAAAGCTCCACTGAGAAATAAACAGAAAGAGAAGCTAAACTCTAGCACACAAAGTCTCTTGCTGTCCTGTTTTAAACCAACTCCCATGCACGTGCTGCCAGGAGTACTGAAAGCAGGACCTGAGTGAGGACACTGAGGCTGGACCATGCAAGTCAGGTTTGGGGCCAGCCCTTTTTTTTAACACCCAGTCCCTCTCAATCTCTTCTGCTGGCTTCTCATCCTCAACTTAACTTCTAAATGCGGGCGTGTTTCAGGGAATAGCCCTGCACCTTCTTCCCCTGACTATCCTCTCTCTCTAGGGGGTCCCGCCCAGTCTCCTGGCTTTGAATACCATATCTGTGCCCTGTTCCCTCAATAATTCAGTCTTGCCAGCCTATATGGATGACAAATAGACTTCAGACACTTAACATGTGCAAATAAGAGCTCTTGACACCCCCCCAACTGTTTTTTTCTCCCTTCTCCAAACCTACCACACCCACTCCCCATTTTGCCTATGACCATACACAACACCTCCATGATCAAGACTTGAAAGAAAATATTCTTATAGTAATCATTCATTTCTTAAGTTTGTTTACCAACTGCCTTCAATGCATCAGCAAGTGATGTCTCTTCTCTTTCCAGAATGTCATGTGACCCCATGCACTATTCTCCAAATTCATGCTGCCAGTCTTGGCCAAGTCACTGCCATCTCTCAGCTGGACTACTACAAGAGGGTCCGAATTGGTCTCCTCACTTTCCTTTGTGCTCTGCCCACTTGCAATATTTTCCACAGAGAGCAGCCAGTGAGAAATTATTGAATATAATTAGGTCATGGCACTCCCTTGATTCAATCCTCTCTCTGGTTCCCCAGAACACTTTTTTTTTTAAATAAAGATTTTATTTATTTATTTGACAGAGAGAGACACAGAAAGAGAGGGAATACAAGCAAGGGGAGTGGGAGAGGGAGAAGCAGGCTTCCCGCCGAGCAGGGAGCCTGATGCGGGGCTCGATCCTAGGATGTGGAATCATGACCTGAGCCGAAGGCAGACACCCAACGACTGAGCCACCCAGGCGCCCCTCCCCAGAACACTTTTGAGTAAAAACAAAACTCTTCATCATGGCTCCTTCCCACCACTGCACCCTCTTCGTGTCCCTCCGCCCCACCTCTCACTGGGCTTCAGCCACACTGACATCCTTTCTGCCCCTCTGGCACCCCAGTTTTCTGTCACAGGCCAGGGGGGACTGTAGTTCTCCCTGCTGGGCAGGTTCTTCGCCTGGCTCCTGGCAGGACTGACCACTTATCATTGTCCTCAGGAAGGCCATTCCTGACCTTTGCCACTTTTTTGGGGGGGGGGCGGGGGGGTTCTAGATAATGCGTACCAAACCATCTTGTTTATTTCCATGAGGGCATTCGTAGCAACCTTTACATGCTTTCATCTTTTCTGATGTGTTTATTGTCTGTCTTCCCTACTAGAAAATAAGCTCCCTGATTACAGGGACCTTCTGCCTAGAAGAATGCCTGGTACAGCATAGGCCCTCCCCAAATTCTTGTCAAGTCATTGGATGAATGAGATGAATAACACTTCCTCCCACAAGAAAGAGACCTCTCCCTCCCTCCACTGATGCTCCACAGGGCTCATCATTTTTGCCTCTGTCACAGTGCCTAGTAGTCAGAATATTTTTGATTGTAGATGGCAGGGACTGGCCAGGAATGGACTAAAACAAGGAGGGGCCCCCTGGAGGCCTCTGTGGGAAAGGACTTGGAGAGCATTCCCTAGCTGCTCTCCTTGTCACTTAGTGACGAGTCACTTAGTAGCCCTGTTCCTGTTGCTGGAGGTTCAGGGGCCTAGGGATTGTCTTCAGGTTTGACAGGTTTGGGAATTTGCTGGCCATAGCATGACATCCTTGAGCCTCTTTCTCCTGCTGTTTCACTGATTTCTGTTGGCTCTGTGGGCTGGAAGTCAAAGTCAGAGAAAGAGATGTTGTTGAGCCCTGGTCCTTGAATCGGTCCTGCTTGGCATTTCTGTCTCCAACAACGGGCCAAGAAGTTCTTCTCATCAACTGCACATCCGCTACCCCCCAGGAATCATGGCTTCCCCCTGGCCTCTTCCTCCTCGGGTCCCTCTTGGATGGCCACCTGGAATGGTGAGGCACCGCTCATCTGCCTCCTGCCTACAAGCAACCTAGACCCCCAAGAGATGGCTCTTAACAGCAGTGACAGTGATCACCTTGGTCAAGCACTGGCTATTCCCCAGGCTTTTCCTACGTCGCTGTCCTTTTCCTTTGTTGGCACTAGCCCTGTCTAGGGGCAGTAGGGGGCTGGATCTCGCAAGCTGGTGAGGTACATATCTGTGTGTCTGCTTCTCAGCCACCTTGGGATGCTTTCCAGCTAGCGATGGGAAAGTTCTCACTGCCTCACACCCCACAGTGACTCGGTCGGTTCCGCAGGCTCGGGGGTTGTTCTGTCATGTGCAACTGCCTAGGTCCAGCCAACACTGCCACCACAAAAAAACGGCTTTATTTACCCAAAGAAGGTGGATGGGCAGGAATGAGGGGGAGGAGAGAACATGTGCTGGGCAGATGAAATTCCATGGCCACCATAGTCCAATCAGATAGCACCTATTGCCTTCTGCTGGCATTTCTGTGATTGGTGTGGACAGCCTGAACTTGAGTGGAGTGAGATGTCCTGAGGGTTTGATCATTTTTTTCTTTACATCTGAGCCCAAATCCCACGCAGTTCAATGCCTGGCTCACAGTAAGTGAGAAACTCCTATTTATGGGAGGAAAGGAAGGACAGAGGGAAGGGTTGTTCCGACTCTTTTGGAAATGGTCACATCTGACTGTCTTTTTGTTCTATCATCTCTGTCTCAGTTGTGTGTAGGGGAGGGCACTTGCACATTTATATATGCATTGATGGGGGCTTTTTTTTTTGCCCAGTTTTACTGAGATATAATTGACATATAACATTGTATAAGGTTGAGGTGTACAACACAATGATTTGATAGATAGATACAGATACAGCTATAGAGATAGAGATATACGATTACCACAGTAAGTTTAGTTAACATCTATCACCTCACATAGTTACACATTTTTTTCTTGTAATGAGAACTTTTAAGATCTACTCTCTTAAGTACTTTCTGTGTTGATGTTTAATTTGTACTCTTTCTAAGGATCTGATGACGCGATTCCCTCCCTGAATGTGCTGAGTAGTGCCTGTGAGCTTGGGTACAGAGTCCAAGCACCTTAGCTTGCTTTTCAGGGCTCCACACCTTCCAGCTCCATCTCCTGCCATGTGCTCTTGGAGACATGATCTCTGTCCACGCCAGATTATTGGGCATGACCAGAAGTGGCTTTGTGTGTGCTAGCATGCCACAGGGCCTTGGCACAGACTGACCCCTCTGTTTGGAATGCCTTCCTTCCTGCCTCCACACGGTGGACTCACCTTTCAGAGCTCATCTTGGGGCTCTCATCTTCTGTGCAGCCTCACTTGACTCCTACCAGGAAGAGTTAGTGGCTGGGTGCTCCTTTCTGGAGCAAGTGGGACCCTCGCTTCTGTTACACTCTACTCTAATGGTTGCTCACTTGTCTATCCCCTCAGCATTTGGCCCTGTGTGGCCTCTCTGCTTCCACAAAACATACTGCTCACCTTTTCTCACCCAGCCCCACACCTCGAACACATCAACACTCACTGCTCACTTATCACATGGCCTGTCCCTTAGCTCCCAGTGCCAAGTACTTGATAAGGCTTTCACAAATATTAGCTGATGACCTGGGACCAGGCACCTCATTCTAGAGATTTCAGGTTTTGTTTTTGATTTGAACATGGATGTGTATTTCTTGGTTCATGTTGGTAACCTTAGCACCTTGAGGGTAGAGCCAAGATCAAACAAGTGCTGGACCAGGCCCTGTCCCCAGCCCTTGGTTTGGCTTTCCTCAGGGTATCATGGAAGACAGCACTAAGGACAGGGTGCTCTTGATTCCCCCTCTGTTGGGCTGCATGTATGGAGGCTGGGTGGTTGGGAAGAAGAATTGGGGGGGGGGACGTGGAAGAACCCCAGGTCTCTAGTTCTCCGGTAGTCTGGAGCAGGGACAGGGTTTCCAGCCCAGAGGACAAGCTCAAAACCAGCTTATGTCTCCTGCTTCCCAGACCCCTGTATCCCTAGGGACCGGCACAGGCTCCATAAATATTTGTGGCATGGCATTATGAATGAATGAATACGTGTTCTTTATTCCCTCTTCTGCAAGTGTTGCAGAGGAGGGAAAGAGCTGGAAAAGGCGGGGGGGGGGGGTGAGATTCTCTGAGAAAATGGGTCAGCAGGCTGCAGGGGGAGCTTGCCCCACTGGCCCCAGCTCCTGCTCAGAGAAGGTGTTGTGTCTTTGGTGGCGGTGATCTTGGGGAGTGTGTGTGAGCGGAAGTGGGGAGAAGCCCTGGATGTGAGAAACCCATTTTTCTCGGCTTTGTTTTAGGCCAGGCAAGTGTATTCTGCATGCCACCCACCCGCTCTTGCAAGGTACTTGATTTAATCATTTAAATGTACTATGGGGAGAGGGGGGATAAAACAAAACCCTCTAAATCTAACCCGTATTCCCGCAGTCCACAGTGGAACCCTTTCCCTGCCTTCCTCTTCATAAATATCCAGGCAACCTGAGAGGCTGTGGACTCACCCCCTCCCGCCCCCTTACCCCCCCCCCCCGCCCCAAAGCTCCCGCTCCCGCCCCCTCCCACAGCCCGCGGCCCCACAGCCCCGCAGCAGCCGCAGGGGGAACCAAAGAGACAGAAGCCTTCCCAGCTGCCCGGACCACAGACGCCAACACCCCCCGCCCCCCACCACACGCCGCCCGCCCGCCCGCGCCCCGCACGCTAGCCCACGACCGAGCGGCGGCGGCAGCAGCAGGCTGCAGGCTGCGGCGACAGGCACCGGCGCGCTCCTAGCAGCGCTCGCTTGCTATCCCAAGTGACTTGGACTCGCCAGATCGGCTGGCCCCGGGTCCCGGCCCCAGCTCCCGCTCGCGCCCTCGGCCCGGGTTCCAGCGCCCACCCGCCCTCCTGCACTTTCCCGCCTCTCCGCCCCCCAGCTCGCGGGAAGGGAGGTCGCGGCAGCGGCCTGGCGGCACCGGCGACCGTGGCGACAGCGGCGACACTGGCGGCGGCGGTGGCGGCAGCGGCTGCGGCGGCGGCGGAGGCTGCGGCGGCGACCGTGGCAGAGGCTGTGGCGGAGGCCTCCGTAGCGGAGGCGGAAGCAGAGGTGGAGGCTGAGGTGGAGGCCGAGGCCTCAGTAGAGGAGGCAGTGGCAGAGGCCACCCGGGGGGAGGCGACGGCCGCCCTGGCAGAGCGGGAGGAGGCGGAGGCCGCCCTGGCGGCAGCGGTTGTGGAGGCCAGCGCGGCCGAAGCCGCCGCCGCCGCCGCCGCCGCAGCAGCAGAGGCTGCGGCGCCCTCCTCGGGGGAGGCGGATGCGGATGCGGATGCGGATGCGGAGGTGGCGGCGGCGGTGGCGGCGGCGGCGGCGGCGGCGGCGGCGGCGGCAGCTGCGGATGCAGATGCGGATGCGGAGACCAGCCGGGGCTCCGAGGGGAACCCAGACTTTCCTATGGCCTCGCTGTACGTGGGCGACCTGCACCCTGAAGTGACAGAGGCGATGCTGTACGAGAAGTTCAGCCCGGCCGGGCCCATCCTCTCCATCCGCATTTGCAGGGACAAGATCACCCGCCGCTCGTTGGGCTACGCGTACGTCAACTACCAGCAACCGGTGGACGCCAAGCGGGCCCTGGAAACCCTGAACTTTGATGTCATCAAGGGCAGGCCCGTGCGCATCATGTGGTCCCAGCGGGACCCCTCGCTCCGCAAGAGTGGGGTGGGCAACGTCTTCATCAAGAACCTGGGCAAGACCATCGACAACAAGGCGCTGTACAACATCTTCTCGGCGTTTGGCAACATCCTGTCCTGCAAAGTGGCCTGCGACGAAAAGGGGCCCAAGGGCTACGGGTTTGTGCACTTCCAGAAGCAGGAGTCCGCAGAGCGGGCCATTGATGCGATGAATGGCATGTTCCTGAACTACCGCAAAATTTTCGTTGGGAGATTCAAGTCGCATAAAGAACGAGAGGCCGAAAGGGGAGCCTGGGCCAGGCAATCCACCAGTGCTGACGTCAAGGATTTCGAGGAAGACACCGATGAGGAGGCCACCTTGCGATGAAGACATGCCAGGAACGAGCCAGCCAGCAGAGCCAAACCTTGGCTCCCACCCGGTTTACAACCCCCCTCTTTGCCCCCCTAACCCACCAGCAGTGTATTGTATTGTACTGGGAGTGCAGGTCTCTCTCTCTCTCTCTCTCTGTCTGTCTCTGTCTCTCTGTCTCTCGCCTTCCCTCTCCCCTCCTTCCCTCTCCCCCTCCTTCCCCCTCTCTCTCCTTCTCCCTCTCTTCTTCCCTCCTTTCCTACCCTCCTCCCCCCCCTCCCTCCCTTCTGCTCTCCCCACCTCTCTCCTCCCCCCACACCCACCAAGGGCCTGCGAATAATCTTGCTAATCTGTGCCACTTGATAGATTACAGGCTGCCTCTTCTCCTTGTGGTTTGGTTTAAAAAACACTTTCATTCTCTCTTCGTTGGCTACACAGGTGATACAGTTTCATGGTAGAAACATCAGAAAGGAGAAGGAAATCAGATGAGGGAAAACCAAGAGAGTACTTGTTCCCCATGATCCTACTACCCAGAGACAACCACTTTTTGGTGTGCTGTTTTTCCAGGCTCTCTTCTCTCCCTCTGTCTCCCTTCCTTCCTCACTCCCACCCCACCTTCCCTTTTAACTCACTGTTATAGAATGGTTCATGTGTGTGGTGTTTCTTAACCTGCTTCTTCAGAAACTAAAACCAAACAAAAATCAACCCATTGAACTTCTTCCCATGCTATTCAACAGGCTTCCGAAATGTCATCTTCAATGCCTGCAGAGTGTATCGATGGATCTTTAACATTTCTGAATCAATCCCGCATTGTTGGACATTCCGGTGGTGCCTAGTTCTTTTCTTGTGTTTAAACCCAACACTGCATACTCTGATGAATGAATCCTTCCTTGTCAAGCCAAATCTTCGCTAGCCTACCGGATGGTCTTCTTAATTGTGGACTTGCAGGATCCACAATAAAATATCCTTGCAGGATATTTTAAAGACTTTTCCTGTGTGTTGCCAAATGGGCCCTTCATAAGCATTGTACTGATTTGCATTCATGCCAGCCAGCACAGCCAGTAAAAAGAGTATGTCCATTTCCCCTGCCTAGTCTCCTGGTCACTGTAATTGATGTGTGTGTGTGTGTGTGTGTCTGTGTCTGTGTGTGTGTCTGTGTGCGCGTGCGTGCATGTGCGTGTCTGGACCAGCTTGATGGGCTGCAAATGGTATTTTGCTGTTTGGGGTTGTTTTACTGGACGTAAATGCTCTTTATCACCTCTTTTCCCTGTGCCCACTTCCTGCCCTTTTTTCCCATGTCAGAAAAATCATTCAGCTTCATTGCAGGGAAAAATTAAAAAGCAGACAAGTTAACAGAAGAAATTTAATGTCCCCAGTAATCAATTCTAATCACCAGCCATGCATTCCTAAATCATTTTCATGTGCACTTGCCCAGTATTTTTCATGTGATATATATGTGAATTTTAATGTATATATTGTTTCAATATTTGCTTTTTCACATATGAATATATAATATAGATAGATATAGATGTATAGATAGATATTCTTGAACTTCCTTTCATGCCATTAAATATTCTTCTAAAATAGTTTCATGGCTCTTTAGTGTTCCAGTGGAGGGGTTTCATAGAGGAATAGATAGATACATGTATTCATCTCTATTCATATTTAGATATAGGTATGGGGCTATTTTTCACAACTTTCTCATTGTTGAACATCTGTTTTGTTTTGTTTTTCTTATCCAAACCTAGCCGCTAATAATACATAGTGCACAAACCTTGCTTACATTCAATATTATTTTATGAACAAACATTGGTGAGAGCAAATTGTAGAATCAAAGGACATGGAAGGTTTGAAATTTTTTTCTTCTTCTTTTGCGGGGAGAGGGGGTTTCCTTTTTAAATGACTATCCCAAAGGTAGTGTCTGTCAGTTTACCCTCACCAAGTACACAAATAATGTGAGAGGATGGAAACCTTGTCAGTTATCTAGACTTGCTATTGCAGTTATTTCTATAGTCTCCCTATATTTTATCAGGGGGACTGTTGCTTTTTTTTTTTTTGCTTTTGTTTAGTTTAAACATTTATTTTTATACAAATAACACAATATCATAATAGAAACTTTTAAAAATTGATTATGAACAAAGTAAAAATCACTCCTAATTGTACCCTTTGACAAAAAAAACTTTGGAACACATGAAACATGTACATAAATAATACTTTCAAAAATGTAATATTTATTGTTTCATTATGGAATATGTCCACTATAATTGGTCTTTCATATCATCTTTCCAAATTATTAAAAATTCTCCTTTAATTTTTTTAAAGATTTTATTTATTTATTTGACAGAGAGAGACACAGCAAGAGAGGGAACACAAGCAGGGGGAGTGGGAGAGGGAGAAACAGGCTTCCCATGGAGCAGGGAGCCTGATGTGGGGCTGGGATCATGACCTGGGCCGAAGGCAGATGCTTAATGACTGAGCCACCCAGGCGCCCCTAATTTTGTTTTTATGTTCCATCTTATGGTTGAATTACAATTTCTAAAATTCAGCCCTTTCATATGTTTAAGCTGTTCTAGTTTTTCCCTAGTAAGATTAATTCTACAAGGAACACATTTGTAGGTGAACATTTGCTGACATGTGCAGAGATTTAATTGCCTTATATACCTTGCCAGTTTGTTACCAAATGCTTCTTCATGAAGTTTATGCCCATTAACTGTGTAAGAAATTGTATATTTCTCTGCTCATCTTCTTCAGTTAGTATTTTTTAAGTTATGAGAAATTGGTTAAGCTTGTGCATTTGTTTTATTATTTCATTTTACAGATGTATTGCTTGAAAAAAAGACATTAAATATATACAACAACCTCTTTTAAGAGATTATTTTTTGCCTATTTGTCCACAATATTTAAAACAAATACACAATGTATTCTTTCAATTTTTTTCAATATATTGTAAATATAACAAATATCTTTGGCTCTCCAATATTCTTCCATAACTCACTATCACTGTATAGGTGAATCAGAATCTTTTAAATAGTGTTTCCTTACTTTGGAATTTAACATAGTTTCTAAATTTTCACCATTGAACCCAAATCTGTGGCAAGTGATTTTGCTGCAGGATTATTGTACTTACATAAATACATAGAAGTGGAATTGAAAAGTAGAGGTCTTTTAAAAAGTTTTAACTGTGCCATCAGGTGGCCTGGATCTACCAATTTATACTTCCACTCATACGGTGGAGGAATGCCCATTTTCTTGCACAAGTTCCTCCCTGGGTTTTATAAACTTTGCGGATATGATGCTATTAAAAATACATACTTCATTTTTTGTTTTCCTTTTTCAATTTTTTAAAAATGATTTTTTGCTTCTTATTCAAGGAATATAAATTCATTTAAAAATCACATTGCATTGATAGGGAAAATAAAATAAAAGTAGCACTGGTAATATAAAGAAAAATTTAATTTTATGTATACATATAAGCATACATAATATTGCATTATATAATACATAAGTAATTATATAATTCATATATTTTTATATATATCAAATCATAATTTCCATTATTTCTTTTTTAAAAAAGATTTTATTTATTTATTTGACAGAGAGAGAGAGTGCGTACAAGCAGGGAGGGAGAGGGAGAAGCAGGCTCCCCGCTGAGCAAGGAGCCTGATGCAGGGCTCAATCCCAGGACCCTGGGATCATGACCTGAGCCTAAGGCAGACACTTAACCGACTGAGCCACCCAGGTTCCCCTCCATTATTTCTTTTTTTTACCCATCTTTCTACCCCCTCCCCTTAGTAACCATGAAGTTTATTCTCTATAATTAAGAGTCTGTTTCTTGATTTGTCTCTCTCTCTAATTTTCCCCTTTGTTTGAAACAAAATTTTTATTCAGTAATAATTTTTTTTATATTTTTATATTAATTTTTTCACATAATTTAAAATGGTCTTTGGATATCTATTGTGTATATGGGTGGATTCATTTCTTCCTACATTGTTAGATATTTTCTACATTCCCAATTCTTTCTTATTTCAGCCACTATGTTGACTACCTTTTACCTAAATGTATGGCCCATAGTTGTTTCTGTAGCAAACATGTCTAGAAGAAAAAAAAAGTAGAAAAAATTATAGACCATTTTTCAGACCATATGGTCAAATTTCTACTTGCAAAGTTGTCAACTCACTCTATTATTTTGTTATTTCCAATCTAAATGTGTACCCAGTTCTTTGAACAAGGCTCTGAACTGGGTATTAAAATTTATATTAAACTTTGCTATGCTTTCAGTGGAGAAAATAGAATACATATTTTTCAATTTTACTTGTAATAATTTTTTTCTTTGTATTTGTTTGCTAGGGAAACAAATCCTAGAAAAGAAACATTATGTGTTATTAAACAGAGTAAATAACATGGAATACAACCATAATCCTATCACTGGATAAAAACCACATGTAAAGTTTGGTTGTATAACCTTTCATACTTTTATATATGCATAGATATAGATGCAAACACCTATGTGTATATACTCATAAATACAATCCAATAGCTGGTTTTTACTAAAATACCACATTAAAATATATCCATGTCAATTAATATTGCACAATATTATTTGCAGTAGTTATACAGTATATTATGGTATCTCTAGGCAATCATTTTTGTAAACCAGTTGACTTAACTAGTGAATTTTTGTTTCCGTCTTTTTCATATTAAAATAAAACCTTTGGGAAGACTATTGTTGCAGTCATACCTTCATACACATTAAGGAGTATTTATCATACATTTATTAGAAATCTAGTTACAAAATAAAACACATTGTCACAAAGACTGTGAGATCATTTCTATATTAACCCTAAATAATCCATTCCCAGCTTACAATTTCATCCATTGTTCTGCATTACTGATACTTGTAATTCTTTTTAAATGATGGAAAACAGATGTTTAAAAGGCAAATCATTTTTCTACTTATTTTCAAAAAATAATTTGAAATTGTTTGAGTTAAAATATAGTGATTTTATATAGTACTTAATTTGTGTTAAGCATTGTTATAAGTGCTTCCAATGTATCTACTCATTTAATCCTCACAACAACTCTATGTGGTATATAGTATTGGATTTTTTTCCATTTTACAGATGAAGTAACTGAGGCATGGTGAGGTTAAATAACAGCCCGAAGTCATACAGCTAGCAATTCATACAGCTAGGACTTGAACCCATGTAGTATAGATTCATAGTCTGTACTCTTAACTATTAAACTATAATGAAAAAAAGGCATGACTGTCCATTTGTTTTTTAATGCCTCCAAATCCCTTTTTCTTATGCATATGCAAGCATATTTTAACAAAAATGTATTCAAATACATTTTCCTTAAAGATTTTTAAAGATTTATCTATTTTTGAGAGAGAGAGAGAAAGAGCAAGCAGGGGTGATGGGGTGCAGAGGGAGAGAATCCTCAAGCAGACTTCCTTCCAAGTTCAGAGCCTGACATGGGGCTTGATCCCACAACCCATGAGATCACAACCTGAGCTGAAATCAAGAGTTGGACACTCAACCAACTGAGCCACCCGAACGCCCCTCCTTAAAGATTTTATTTAGTAAAACACATCTTTAAAAAATGAGAGAATGATGTCATTAAGATGGTGATGTCCGTTGTTTCCATCTTTCATTCTACTTACAAGAAGACCAACTAGTACTCATCCATTGATAAGACATCATTAGGGAAATCCCAAACACTGAGAGTGAGGCTGAAGGACCCCTGGACCACAGAGACCAAGAAGGACCACATTCGAAATGTAAGAAGAAGGACTATACTCTTACAGCTTCTCCCCCACTAACTCCAGGCTGGCACGGAGACACACAGAGAGGGCTCCCTGGGCCTATAGTTTCTCCAGTGGGAAAAAGAGAACCCAAGGTGGACAGCCAGTTTCCCCAGTGTTATGGGGAAGCCCATAGGAAGCCCACTTGGGTTTTATTTCATGAGAATCACTGGGACAATCTGTGGGGCTCAACCACTGGGGATCAGATAAAGACAGAGGAGTAAGGTTTACGGCAACCAGTGCTCAGTCCTTGGCAAACTACCTTTCTGCCTGCAATGGTGCCAGAGCAGAGATCAGAGCCAGTGGCTCTGGTCATCTGCAGAGCTAAGCTGGTGGCCTTCTGACTTGGGAACTCGGTTGGCAATTATGCTGGATGTGGGTCCCCAGTCAACAGGCTGTACCCACTGTGGAGCCCATTTCACTGCCCCACCCAGGCTGGGAAGCAAATTCACAGCCTTTCTCAACTGCTGAGGGGAGTTTCCTGTCATACCCTCAGGAAGCTTGACCAGACAACACTGGCAGTTGTGGAGGCTATCTTACAGCCCCGCTTGGGCAGGGAGCCAAGCCAGAAGCTCTACTCAACTGTTAAGCATAGCCTCTCATGCCACATAACCAGAGAGCCTGAATATTAAGCCTGGGTAAGTTCAGAGCCTAACCCATTATATTGCCAAGCTGTAAAGCCCAACCTACACCCCTGCCTGATTTCTGAAAGCAGCCTGTGGCCTTGCTCAGGCAGGGAGCCCAGCCAATGACCCTGCCCAATAATTGTAGAGCATAGCCAGCAGACCCATCTGATGAGAGAGTTGGACAATGACCCCATCCAACCATAATGCATTTTGTAGTGTCCAACTTCATGATGCAGCTGGAAGCCCCTCCTGACCAGATAGACCAAACAGGGACCTTGCCCAAAAGCAGAGCAGAGCATAGCCAGTGACCTCTTCTGACTGTGAATCCCTGCTTGTCTCCACTTGAACATGGAGTCTAGTCAACATCACCACCTGGTATAGAAGCACAGGCCAATACCTCATGAAACCAGAAGAGTTTGTGAAGCCAGACCCACAACCTTGCCCAACTGCAGAGTCCAACCAGTGGCACCACCTTGCTTGTGAACACAGCCTGCAACCTCACCTGA